GAGGAGAAGCATGGCGAAGTTGAAATGACTTGGATGGAAAATGAATCACAATAGTGTGCATTGCATTGGCAATGCACACTGACAAGTAAAACTCACCTCTCTGTCAGGTAGGCTGAATAGGAACTCTCTGTCAAAGCGTCCAGGACGCCGCAGGGCCGGGTCAATGGAGTCCAACCGGTTTGTCGCTCCGATCACCACCACTTCCCCTCTGCTGTCCAGACCGTCCATAAGAGCCAGAAGAGTCGACACGATGGAACTGCGGGAATTTAAAAAAAAAACTTGACGATGTACAGAGTTGTAACGTAACAAAGAACAAATACTTTGTTACTGTAATTAAGTCGAATTTTTAGGTATCTGTACATTACTTGAGTAATTATTTGTACTTTATACAACACTGATTAAAGCTGCACAAAGCTTTTCTCCAGAATAAAAATCTATCTGAGGGCTTCAGCCAAATACAATAATATAACTCATGAAATACAAATACTTATTAAGTGCAGTACTTTTATTTTAATGATTATGCCCTGGAGTGTGATATTTGTTTGTGTACAAACTAATATGATATCAGAGTTTTATATATTTATACTTCTCATTCAACCACAATTAAACTCACTCTATCTAGGAGGCACAGTTTATGTGGATACTGTAGTTTTAGTTTTTTACAAGCTGGAATGAAAACAAGAAAAAATTAAATAAAAGTAATGACTTTCTACTTCTTGACTTTTTTAATGTTAGGAGTAGAAAGTACAGATAATTGTGTGAAAATGTAAGAGGTGGTAGTAAAAAGTAGGCTGAAAAATAATTAATATAGATACCCAAAAATTCTACTTTAGTACAGTAACAAAGTATTTGTACTGTATTTTGTTACTTTACAACTCTGCCCTTAATATATGTTTATAAACTGAAACAGCTGGACTAGTGCATCCTAAATTTAAGATAAATTAATTATTTTTAATACAATATAGTCATTTCTGCAGTTTTTGGGGAGGTCACCTCCTAATAAATGTCATTGCGTAAAATCCAACTGCTCGTTTTAAATCAATACTTTTACTTTTAATACTTGAGTACAAAACATATCAGACACTTTAAAACTTTTACTCAAGTAATACAGGAGACTTTAACTTTTACCAAAGTAATTTWTTTGGTAAGATGCTTGTACTTTTACTCAAGTATCACTTTGTGGTGCTTTTAACACTGATGATCTGTTTGTTTGTTTGTTTTGAGCCTTATAAGGAGAGCAAAGGTTGGTAAAATATAAAAAAAACTGTAAAGACCTGTGAATTTGATCTTGTCTGCTGGATCGAACAGGAGCCAAACCATCAATCTCGTCAAAAAAGATGATAGAAGGACGTCTCTGATACGCCTGATGAACACAGAGCGACAAAAAGATGATTGACAAGAGACCAATTTTAAGAGCTACAGATAACTTAAAAAAACATTTCTTTATTCTGCAGTTGGCCAGCAGGGGGCAGCACAGCACCACCAGATGTTATTGAAAAGGAAAGTTACCTGTTCAAACAGCAGCCGCAGCTGCCTCTCTGACTCCCCCACCCACTTGCTGAGGCAGTCGGCTCCTTTCCTCATGAAGAAGGACACCTTCCTGTTGCCACTGCTACACTCGTTGGCCAGCGCCCGGGCAACAAGCGTTTTCCCAGTGCCAGGAGGGCCATAAAACAGGCAACCTCTGGAGAGAGAGGCAGGCAAACGATGCGTTTTAATGTCTGTATTAGTTAATTGTAAGTAAAATATTTATAAGAACAATCAAAGTGAAATATATATTTTAATTAGTCACTGATTGGAAGTATTTTGATGTGTTTTTTCACTTTCACACAAAATCACAAACGGGTGAAATTTTGCCTTTTTTAAAAATCACTTTCTCTTGGTGAGTCACCTGGGAGGCTGAATCTTGAAATTGTCAAACACTTCGGGGTAAAGAAGCGGGAAGACAACCATTTCTTTCAGAGCTGAGATGTGACCCGACAGACCTCCGATGCTGTCGAAGCCCACCTGAAGACCGAAGGGAAGAAACGAGGGAGTGAAAACGAGAATAATCGCTGAAGTTTTTAATGTTCAGCTCCGCCGTAACTCACCGACTGATCGATGGCCATGGGATCGATGTCTGCCAGGCCTGCTCCTCTGGCCATCTTGCCTCTGCGGGAACTAAAAAGCTCCTCTGTGCGCAGGCCGAGAGGGCGGCAGCTGCAGGGCAAAGTTAAAAACGCGATAATCAGTGAGAAGAAGTTTACAAACCTTTAAAACCACGAACTTTAAAAATACACAAAATGCAGCCAAACATATGTGAACAGGAACTCTAACATTAATTTTTCAGCTTTTTTAAACTACAAGTAAAGTTTTACTAATTAAACAAGAGCAAATTATAGTTTTGTTTATTTCAATCAGGGGTAAAGGATAAGTTATGTCTACAGAGAAAAATAATAATTTCTACTGACCTGCTGGAGGTTCTTTCATCTTCATCATCAGTGCTGTCATCATCAGAGTGATTGGACCGCGCAGTGGATCTGGTGAAATGAATGCAGGAATAGGTGAGGATTTAAATCTTGGACTAAGATTACACCCTGGATTACACCATCCCATAGAGACCTGCTCAGAACCTTACAGACGTGTCAAAAGTATTTACATTTATTACTTAAGTAGAAGTATAGAGAATAGGGTTTAAAAATACTTTTTT